CAACATCCGTAGAAATTTTATCCACTTCGGTTATATTGGCTTGGGGCGGTTTCCTTTTCTGCGTATCCTTCTTTTTGCTTCGACAGTCTTTAGCTTGATATCTCGGCTTCCCGCAAATATAACAGTTGCCTTTGAATCGTTTTGTATTGTTGACTTTTTCTTTGTCCATAGATGAGCCAGAACACTTCCTTTTCTTGTTCTTAGACCCCGAGTCTTCTACCATGTTAGTCTTTGCTTCCATGTTGCGGACATTATTCTTCTTTTCTGTAGCCCGATTGTCTTCTTCAATGCGAAGTCGAACAATTAGATCCTCCATCGTCATCTTTTTGCGTTTATGCTTGAGATAGTTTTTGAAATCTTTCCATAGTGGAGGTAGTTTCTCGATCATCGCAGCTATTTGGAAAGATTCACTTAAAGTCATACCTTCAGCTTCAATATCGTGAAGTAGAACTTGTATCTCTGGAACCTGACTCATAACTGTCTTTGAATCAGTCATCTTGAAATCTAGAAATTTGCCGACAATGAATTTCTTCATTCCGGCATCTTCAGTTTTGTATTTTTTGTTAAGAGACTCCCACAGTTCTTTAGTCGTCTTGTAATTACAATACGCACTATATAAAGTGTTATCTAATCCATTGAGAATGTAATTACGGCATAAGAAATCTGCATGTTTCCATGCTTCAATAGCTAACTGAGTATTTTTAGCAGTAGCATTCTCCGATGTTTGTGCAGGACATTCTTCACGCAGAAATTTTACTAAGTTCAATGTTGTCAAATAGAATAGCATCTTCTGTTGCCAACGTTTGAAATCCGTGCCATTGAACTTTTTCGGTTTCTCATATTGTGAAGCCGGCGGCATGACAAATTGATTGGAACCTGAATTTGGCGCAATCACCGCATTAGTATTGCTCTCAACAGTACCAATCACAGCGCTAGTATTATTATTTGATGTACTAGCCATTTTCTGTAAAACCACACTTACAGAAAATAATCAATAATAGAAATGTAGAAGAAATGAGAAAATAAAAAGTCTGTCTTAAGATTGTTGTCGAAAATTCGACGAACGCAATCAAAAGAAGAAATAAAATAAGTAGAAAAATAAACAGTAAATGAAGCGAGGTATGCTAATAAAGTGAGCAAATCTCCTTAAGACAGATTTCGCCTCACAATAAAGTGCAAACGGGATTATGAACGTCTGTCTCCCAAGATACAACGCTCCTTCCAAAGTCGATACTACACAATACCAACCTTGTCGGTCGAACCAATGAATGATCATACTTGAACGGAATAACCACGGAAGTATAAGAGATTTTTTTTTGGAGAAGAATATGGAGAGAGAAGAATTTAGAAATCAATTGAATTCGTAATTGATTTGGTGTATCAAAAAACGAATCTGGGGGTCCCTATTTATAGAGATTGAAGTGTCTCATGGAACAGGTGTGTGACATTTCAGGAACTGGTGCACCACTTGGTTTGATTCGTCTTAGCCATTGGATCGCACTATTTTTATGATCTGACGGCCCAGATTGAACCATGAAGTGAAGTGTCCATTCATCATGCCTATTCACCAATTTCTGAACAGTCACAGCCATGCGGATACCACACGTACATCTAACCGCCATGCAGGATGAAGGGACGCGACCTACCACTCGTGCGCTACCTAGAATGCCGACCACTAGTGCGCCACCTAGAATGCCAACTCACCGAGCCTTGTGCTGCCACCTCATCGAACCACGAGTCCATTTTTGAAAACTATAAGGCTCCCCAGCTCCTCCGACGATGCGTACGTGCCAAGTACCAAGTGCACCTCTAAAGTGCCCAATGCGTACTTTGCGACGTGCACGTGCGCGTGCCGGGACCGGGTCCGGGGAGCAGTGCTAGTGGTGCGAAGCACCACTCTAGTGGTGACTAGCCTTTGGCTAGTTTGCTAGCCTTTGGCTAGCTAAAGTTAGCCAAGTGGTAGGTAACATGTTAAATTATATATTATTCACACAACCCACTATATAAACAAGACTGTTTTCTTGTAAACTTTCGATGTGGGACTCCTTTCCATATAAAAAACACTTAAAATGGGCTTATCAACATATGGGCCTATATTGGAGACTTTTCCAATTCACCCAAATTAATTGCAATGGCCCATATCATTAAATATTACATTTAATATTTTAAACCCAAATCAAATTCAATTAATTCCAACAATATAGGGGGAAAAGTTAATTGGAAGAGAAAGATTAGGAAAAGTTTGCCCCCGCTGCTATGGACCCTATCCATATTCCTTGTGTTCGATCTTGTAAATTGCTATGAACTGAACAGAACCAAGCTTACTCGCAGCCGTTGCTGACATGTAAAGCGTCACCTCCAATTTGTCATAGGCAATGGGATTTCAGGAACAGTTGATTCTAGAAGAAATGGAAATTTTAGTCACCATTTTTGAGTCCAGTAGTCCACTAGACGACCCAAGGGTCGGATCTCTCAATGCAGAGAAATTGCTGAAGATGAGAGAGAGCTATTATTCGACCATGGAGCACCATATTTCTCGTTGAATGCTAGCAATTCTGAGGTGCAGAGGCTCATCAATGATTGGGAATTCTGAGGTGGAGCACCAGCCAACATATCTTTATCATCAGAAGCAGAGAGAATTCTTATTGGAATTTGATTTTTATCCTAGACCCCATTACTTTTCTACAATCCTTCACACGCCATTTCACACACAATCACACTTCTGTGAATGTGACTATGTAGATTTGCGCAAAAAATGTGTATCAGTTCAATCCAAGACTGTCAGATTAAAGAGAGGAAGTGTTACTATTGAGAGTAAAATTCATGGATTTTTAGCAGTGATCTGAAGATTCTTAAGTGAATGGGATAAAAAAAGACACTGAGTCATGGATTTGTAGGTGGGCCTGTTGCTTTGTTCGTTTGGACGTCGTTATTATTTGATGAATGGGTTAGGTTTTGAAGACTTTAATGGATGATTATGGGCCTCAACAATTTTGAATAAGGAGTATTTTATTCTAGGCTTTTTGAATAGGTTAGGGATTTGTTGAAAGTAGGCTCGACTTTTGGACGTGAGGGTATAACTTGATTAAAAATGGGCTAAGGTAATTACGGGTTGTGAGCAGTTGGGCTATAAATTGCGGTTTCTCTTTGTGGGCGACATGGATGTGGCTTGATTTGCTTCCAATAAGGAACTTGGCAATCATATTGATGGGTCATTGGGATGAGAGAGACATGGGAGGAGCTTCGGTTGCTCGAGTGACGAGCAAGAGTTTTGGGTTTTCAGATCATCTTTGGGGTTTTTTTTTGTGTAGGCTGTTTTCTGATATTTCTTCCAATTATAGCGTCCCGACAACGATATATTACTAATTTTTTGGCCGATATATTGTCCATTAGAGATTTTGATGGAATACTAATTATGTATTTGACTGAGTTCTCCCGATCTCATTATGTGATCGGTACACTTCATGAATTTCTTTTTGAAATTCTTCTTGGCCTGTGAACTCTCTAGAGTGGTTTTGGAATATTCTTGAGGTAGTTTTTGGATGTTTCTGTACTATTTATTGTTCTTGCTCTCTCGTTGTAACAATTTTTCGTAGATGATTACTTTGATTTGGATATCTTTTTCGTGGGCACGAGCAATGTCGCCACCGTCAACTTATGATTGCAAATTAATAAGCATCAATTTGAGATTTTAGAGGGGATGTCAGTGAAATATAAGGAAAACTACCATATTTAATAAGTTACCATTAATGAATAATTATAATTGATAACTACCATATTTATTTGTGAATTTAATTTTATATAATAAGAGAACATCTCACATTGAAGGACATCGAGTATTATTGATTATCATTGAGTATATTTGACTCTTATATTGATACTTGTTGAAGATAGTGACCAAAAACACGAATTTGTTGTACTCCATGCCACAAAAACCTACTGCTTGTAATAAAATATGTACTTGTGGTGGAGACCTAGCTATGGAAAAATATAGAGGACGTTCCATGTGCATTTTCAGATTGTGAAGTTTTGTACCATCCAAGAGCTTGCCACATTAGTTTTTCCCAAGACCTACATTACAAAATCCTGTAATTTTTGTTTGTTTTCCTATGCTTCCATTGCTTTTGTGCCCATCTTTTTTCTTTCTTTTTGGATATCATACAAAATTTAGGTATACTTTTCTATGTTATGATAACTATGCACTGCTATATTGTTAAGCTGAGAAAATATGCGTTTGGTCGTAAGATGTTCATGTGGTGTATTCACAGAGATCTGAGCTTTAACAACTTAAAAGGAGAGGTTCCAGATTTTGATCGCCTACCAATTCTAACGAACTTGTAAGTGAATTAGTATGATATTATTCAATTGATTTGTACAAAAGCTTTGGTCTGTCATTCACCTGTCATATATTGCAGCGTGATAATGGAAGACTTTGTTCGTGTTCATATCCTAAATCCTACTTTTTATTTCCAAAACAAGTAATAAGGACTACTGTAACCAAACTTAAGGATGTCCAGTTCATATTCAATCCTTAGTGTTCAAGCGTCATTCATATACTCTACTAGGCTATACTTCTGTTCTTTCATGATGTTTTGTTCTGTAATCTAAATGTATAATTTTGATTTCATTTGGATTTTATGTTTGTGATTAGGTTTCTGACTAGTAACTTTCTTAGTGGGCAAATTCTAAAGTGGATCCAAAGCATAAGTGAAGAACTGTAAGTTCACTTCTATATTTCTTATTATTTAACGTCTATAAAATTATCTATGTGATTTAATAGTAGCATTGTCCATCATAAATGACGATGTCCTCAAATTTATACAGAAATGAAATTTCTCCGTTTCTCTCAGAACCTCTATTGACATCTTTATAGCCAGATATACAATTGCCATCTTGTTGTTGAAGCTCACCTTAAGATATAGGACTAGTCTCATAAGTTCGAAAAGAATCTCATTTTTACTTTAGTTACTACATACTGTTGGACATCTATCACTATGTAATTTATGGGTTCTTTTCTTTCATTGATTTTAGAGGATTGAAATAAGTTCTTAAAGAGATATTAAATGCATTTGCAGCCACGTAGATCTTTCTTACAATAACTTCAATGAGACTTCTGATCCATCAATTTGCAGGAACAATATGTAAGCCCCAATTTTTCTTCGTTTTCTTTGTATGCTTTCTTTCTGTATATTTTTCATAGCTTCAATTTGTTTTTTCCCTTTCTTTCTGCATCAGAAACTTGTTCAGAAGCTTTAGTGGAGAAAACAGTTTGTAAGTTTTTAAGTTGCTTCTTATGTAGATAAGATTATTGTAATCTAAACATAACTTTGTATATCATATTATTCAATATGCTCCCTTGCCATATGACTTGATACAGAGAACATGGAAAGTGCCTCACTCCTTGTTCAAAGGGTAAGTACTTCGTTTTACAAGCTCAGCCTTGATTGTTTACTCGAATCTCATCATCCAAGCGTAGTATACCATCACGTTTGCAATATCATTTTTTGTACTCAAGTTGAAAACTAAAAACAAAAAGAATGCAATAGTAATGTTATATATCGTATATAGTTATAGCACTTTTGTCTTTTTACACTCAAGAGCATATTCTACAATTTAGAGTGTTGGATTTTGATACTCAATGAATTTAGGGCTACGATGTAAACATCGGATTCAATTTCATAGGCATTGGTCAATGAGTGAATTATTATCAACAATCAAGTCCAAAGGCTCAATCCGAAAACAACATGGACAATTGGAAGTAGCTTAAAAATTAATGCTACTCACGACCTATATATATTATCTATTGAATAGCTTTGAATCTTGACCTATTTAACCCTTTATTGGCACAACTAAAGCCTAACATAACCCTATATGTATGTTACTTTTTACCCTAGCCATTAGTATATGATTTGTGTATGAAAAAGAGGGAAAACATGGTTGCTTCTTCATGTAAAATAGGCTCCCATGGAGAGAGAAAACCGATGCCTTCATCTTGTGTATTTTGGTCCCTTCTCTTGCTTTCTTCCGTTATTTTTCCCGTGCCTTTGTGGCCTACAAATCATCACCGTTATCTTGTCATTTATGAGTGAGATTGAGGAGGAACCGAGTGCATAAATTGGTTGTGGGTTAGAGTGTGTGGATTGATTGGTAGTGAAAAGTAATGTAAAACTGAGCCCGAAAATCACTGTTTCGAAGATCTTGGAGAAAGCTTCCTCAAAAATTGGTATCAAAGCTTCAAGTAATAGATTTGGCTCGAAAATTTGACGGAAAATTGGCTGAAACGAAGCAGAAAATAGATTGGAAAACTGTCTAGAAAATTACACAAAAATTGAGGCTGTTTTCATGATTTCTGATCAAACCAGAATGAGTTTGGTGAAATGGAGACTACTAGTGTGACGTGCAAGTGAAGGCGCGCTAGAGTGGCTAGTGCATGAATCCCATGCACAGAGGCTGTTGGTGGCGCTTGAGGGCGCATGCGAAGGTTTCAGATAGAGGTCTCTTCAGGTAATTTAATCCTAACATTTTGATGTTATTAGTTTTCTGTTTCCGTTTATACAGTGGAATCTGGATAAATTTATCCTTCGTGTGTTCGGGATTCGATCATGGTTGATTGATTTCTGCGATTGATGGAGACTTTATGGCAAGTAGTGGTGGCCCAAAAGTGTAAATTCGCATCTCTCACTATTTATGGACTGAGATTGGTTCATTCTGATTTATTGGCTTATCCCAATTTAAATTTCTATTTCAGGATAGGGGTTACCATGTCGATAACCATTGATTGTGCTAGAAATTTAGGCATTACTTGCCATATTTGAAGTGTTGAATTGGATAGTAAGTTGATAATTATCCTTGTGCTCTAGTTGCCATTTAGTCACTGTGTGAGACTGGATTGTGTGAAAAACTAAATTTTTGTTGATATACCTTCGTGTTACATTGGTTATTCTGTTAGAATGCCTAGAATTAACCCATTTGAACATTTCCTTGATACGGAGATCTCAAGTCTCACGAAACCCTGGGAATCTATAATGATATATAGTGCGCCCTTATGATTACTTTGTGTGACATATTTGTGCACTTTAGTTGTTCTATTTTTCAAAATGTCATCACATTTCGAAGTTGAAATTTTCAATAAGAATGGGGAATTTTCTATTAGGCAACAAAAAATGAAGGAAAGTTTAGTTCAACAAAAAGTTTCAAAAGTCATAAATGACAAATTTTCAGCAAATTTGATGGAAGCACGAAAAGAAGAATAGGATAAATTTACTTACACATCAATTATTTTACACCTATCTGACACTATTTTGAGAAAAAATGAAAAACTTGATTCTACTAAAAAACTTTGAAAAAAGTTGGAGGATTTATATTTACTTAAGTCTACTCCTAATAAATTGTGTCTGCTCAAAAGATTTTTCAATTTTAAAATGAATCCTTGCCAAGCTCGTTCAATATATTTTTAGATGTTTTTAAGAAGCTCGTTCAATATAATTTTAACTGTGATAGGAGGTGTATGAAACGTATCAGGCCATTATTTTACTTAATTCAATACATGATTCATATAGAGAGGTTAAGAATGCAATTAAATATGGAAGGGACATCTTTACACCCGATATTGCCATAGATTCTCTTAACAATAAGAAAATAGAGATTAAGACTGAAAAGGAGGATAAGAGGAGTTGTGAGTTATATATAATGAAGAGTAAAATGAAGTTTAAACAAATAAATTTGGGAAGAAATCAAGACAGTTGTGATTCAAGTGGTGACTCGAGTGATGAGGGTGGTAAAAAAAAGGTTAAAGGTTCGGATAAGTCTAGTGGTAACCAATGTTACAGCTTTAGTAAGTCGGAACACTTTGTGAGAGATTGTCCCAAAAAAGGGATAAGCAAAAGGGTAAGATGAGAGGTGAGGTGAGGTGAATATGGCTATAAGGTCGAGTGATAATCGTAGTGAGGTTTATTGAGAGTAAACCTAGTTATTGCATGTGCATATGTGTGTAATCATTTCTGCATGTGTGTGTGATTGCTTAATTATGTTGCATAGTTATATGACATTTCTATGTGTTTAATATGTGCCATTGTATGAATTTGAGAGCAATGTGATTATTTGGTATAATTGTTTGCATGCATAGTGGGTTAGGATGTATTAGCAATAATTGTGTTGTGTGTCTATTGGTGAGGTGAAGTATAGATGACTAGGGGTGCATTGATGGTTTGTACCAGGAATGTGAGATGTGACATTTTGATCACGAGTGAAAATGTGATTAAATGTTGGAATTCTTTATCTGAGAAAATCATGATCATGTGGAGTGTAAAAGATACACTTCTATCACTTATGTTAGGTGGATACTCATTTATCCACCCCACGTAGGTTGGAAAAATGATATGGCGATATAGGATTATCCCACGAATTTATGACCTATTGTGATTTACTTGTTAGACATGAGTTGAATAATCAATTTAGTAAACATGGTGAGCAATGAGAGGGGAACAAAAATGGGATAGGATAAGTGTGGTAAGATCTTTTCATGTGGTCATTTATGCATTTGTTGTATATATGTTGATCGTTTGTTGATTAACTTGGTGTTAATCTTTTGTTCTGTGCGAATATGATTTTGAAAAGATCTGTGTATTATCTTATGTTATATCTTCATCGTATATTTATTTGCTCTTGATTGTTTACTGTTATTATATACTTCTACTTGGGTATTTGTTTAAGACCATAGCCCTGGCGAGTACATAAAGTTGGTATGGTATGTGTTTTGGGTCCAAAACACGAGGTAAAGCCTGTGATTCCAATTTTATTAGTTACTTTGATTGTGTAAGTACTAACTTTGTAATTTGATTACTTGTAAGTTGATTGGGTATAAAGGTGAAGATTTGTTGAGTTTTGCTACCTAATAAATCTTTGACTATGATGTAAATGTCAGATTGAATTTCATAGGTATTGGCCGATGAGTGAAATTGTTACCAACAATTAAGTCTAAAAGCGCGACCTAAAAACCATATGGACCGTAGGAAGTAGCTTAAGAAATTAAAGCTACTCACAGCCCATAGATATTACCTCTTGGATGACTTTGAATTTTGGCTCATTTAACCCTTATTGGTCTAACTAAAGCCTAACCTAACCCTATATATATGTTGCTTTTTCCCCTTGCCATTAGTGTATGATTTGTTTATGAAAATGAGGAAAAATATGGTTGCTTCTTCCTGGAAAAGTCAGCAGCCATATAGAGAGAAAATCAGTGCCTTCATCTTGTGTATTTTGGTCCATTCTCTTGCCTTTTTCGTTGTTTTTCCCATGCCTTCGTGGCCTACAAATCATCACCATTACCTTATTCTTTGTAGGTGAGACTGAGGAGAAATCGAGATGAATATACTGATTGTGGGTTGGAGTAGTGCAGATTGGTTGTTTGGTAGAGAAATATAATTAAAAACTGAGCCCGAAATTCACCATTTCTAAGATCATGGAATGAGCTCCAACGACAAAAAAACATTTAAATTTAGGGAGTAAAAATTTTTGAGTACTTCAACAAGTTTTTTATATATAATCAATAATTTTAAAACCGGACCTGACCGGTCGGTTCAACCCAAAAAATCATGAACCGCCCTCAAATCCGATCCGGTCACTACATATTAACCCTATTAACTAAAAACCGGTCAATAAACCTTCGAACCGTCCGGTTAACTGCAAAACGTAAAACCGGACACGATTTTACCGGTTCCTTTAAGCTGCACTTTATATATTTTATTATTCAAAAATTGATTTTAAGTTTGCTTAATGGGCCCAATTGCAATGGTAGCAGGCCTGTTTTATTGAACACAGCATGTTGCTACTTTTAAAAGTGAATCCTCTCGCACCTTTTCATTGTTCAACCGATGTGGGATAGAGTTAGGACTTGGGCCGTTGGATAAGTGGTCAGCTAGTTTCAAAAAATTCCATATTTTCTATGGTCAACTGTGAGATAAATTATAATTATAAAAGTTACAGGGTCTATGGCCAATTGAATTCTTAAAAAATGTTTAATTATCTACTTCATTCTACATTATATGAAAATCATGGTCCCCAAAGTACAAACAATTTCAATTGAACAAAGCAAATTATTTTGGACATATTAATAATTAGTTTTTGAAGTTTTAAAATAAATTATAAGATAATAAATCTAATTGACAAATGTGGATTTATATTTAGTTTGAATTAGTGATACTAATTTTGTTAACAAAATTGTTATAATATTTTTATTATTTAGGTGTATTTATTTACTTAGTTATAGCATACGCTTCAATCCCGGTTCGACCCCGGTTCAACCTTTCTACCCTTGACCCTTATTCTTTTCCGGGTCGATGTCCTGGCCAGTTTTCAAAACATTGTATATAATACTTAATTTTACTACTTCAAAAAAATATTTATTATTTTTTTCTTGTCTTTTATTTTCACTAGCTTTCCTCTAAATTATTATATTATTTTTCACTGAAAATTGAAATATTTTAAATGCATTAAATTATAAAGAGCGTGTTTGACTCTCTAAATTTGGAGAGTCAAACTCTCTATAAATTAAAATGTTAAATTAAAGAGTCTCTTGAAACATAACTTTAAGGCTTGATTCTTTAAAATAGAGAATATTTTATGTTTAAAGAATCTTTTGGAAATGTTCTAAAAAACTTAATATGCTTTGGTTTTTCACAGATTGGTATTCCTTTTATGTAAATTGTGGTGGAGGGGAAGTTACTGTTGGCAACAAAAGATTTGAAGCTGATGTACAAATAGGAGGTTCAGTTCAATTTGTTCACTCAAAAGAGAACTGGGGAGCTAGTAGTACAGGACAGTTTCCCTCGTTCAAGAATCACTATAATGCCAACAATGTATCTGTGCTGAAAATGAAGGACTCTGAACTCTATACAGATGCGCGTCTATCTCCTTTATCTCTCACTTATTACGGGCGTTGCTTAGCAAATGGAAACTACACTGTGACACTTCACTTTGCAGAGATAGTTTTCAGAGATGATAACTCTTTCCAGAGTCTTGGGAGACGGATGTTTGACGTTTATATCCAGGTCAAGTAATAAATAAACAGTTCTTTTTGGTGCTATTTACTATTGCGATTTGACTCAAACTTATTCAACATAATACAGGATGAACTGAAATTGAAAGATTTTGATATTAAGAAGGAAGCGAAAGGAGTTGCTAAAGCTGTGAAAAAACCATTTAATGCGACGGTTAAGAATATAACTTTGGATATCCGATTTTACTATTCTGGGAAAGGATCAATAGACATCCCTTTCAGAACAGTATATGGCCCTTTGATATCTGCCATTTCTGTGGAATCTGGTAAGATAGTCTGTGTAATACCATTAAATTTATCCTCAAAACACCTCTATCTCTCTTAAGATTTTTTTTTATCGATTTATTTGAGAAAATATACATTTTATCTGCACAACCACTAATCTTTTGCAACTTAAGCGACAAAACTCAGGTGTTGTTGGCACTTAAATTAGTACTCTATTAATTAATCTATTATCGTTCTTTTTCACTTGTTATTGTTCTCAAATTTCCTATACCAATTCCTTTATGTGATTTTTTCTGGTGCTAGCTAGCAAACTGAACACCATGTAACAATTATTCTTTATTTCTTTCATTATGTAGATTTTAAGCCTCCGTCCGGAGGAACGAATATTTTCATCCCAACAGGAGTAACAGCTTTGGCAATTTTTTTCATTCTCATTATTCTTATTTTTTCTTGGTGGAAAGGCTATATAGGAGGCAGGATCTCAAGGGAAGAAGGTAAACAAATAGACCTTTCTTAGTATTTAAGCAAGAATGTAAATATTGAATTGTCGTATATAATTTTATGGATAGTCTTACAGTAGTAATGCATCACATGACATCTATGGAAGTTACTCTCAAATTTTGGATAAATAATTTTCTCGTGGTGATGTGACCATGGACAAGCAATAGATCAAAGAAAAACTAGAACATATTCTAGTGTACTGTATAGAGAAAAAGAGAGATGGTGGAATCCTTAACTATATAGCTTACAATGAATTCAACATCTAAAAATTGTTCTTTTCCAGAACTAAGGGGATTAGATTTGCGGACTGGCTTTTTTACTTTTAGACAAATCAAAGCCGCCACAAACAACTTTGATGCTGCAAATAAAATTGGGGAAGGTGGTTTTGGATCTGTCTACAAGGTATGTAGAAATATTAACTTCCAACTTTTCTCTCTTATACTTTGTCTATACCTTCGCGCTTATATTTTTCTAACATTTCTATATGCGTGCATGTCTGTGATACTATAAATGCTTCATTTGCAGGGTATACTGTTGGATGGTAGTGTAATTGCTGTCAAGCAGCTGTCTTCCAAATCAAAGCAAGGGAACCGTGAATTCGTGAATGAAATAGGCATGATTTCTGGTTTACAGCATCCAAATCTCGTAAAATTGTATGGATGTTGCATTGAGGGAAGCCATTTAGTGCTGGTTTATGAATACATGGAAAACAATAGCCTTGCCCGCGCTTTATATGGTAATTGGAATTTGTACCTGCGTTATGCATTCTTTAAAATCTTGTCTAATATACAAATTTAGTATTTAAAATCCATGCACACACTTAATTGAATCGTATTATCAAGTACAGGACCAGAGGAAAGGCAATTAAAAATGGACTGGCCAACCAGACAAAGAATTTGTATCGGTATAGCAAGAGGCTTGGCTTTTTTGCATGAAGAATCCACATTGAAAATTGTTCATAGAGACATAAAACCTAACAACATTCTTCTTGATAAAGACCTCAATCCAAGGATTTCCGATTTTGGTTTAGCTAAGCTCGATGAGGATGATAACTCCCACATCAGCACTAGAGTTGCAGGGACCATGTGAGATTTTTTCTCTTTCTTCATCTCACCATTTTTAGTTGACCAATAAAATAATTATTTATTGAAAAATTCACTTTATTTACTTACAATTGAACTTTTTATACAAACTTGAACAAGATGAAAGCAGTTTAAAGTCTTTTGGAATATTTACTATCACAACATTTGCAACACTAAATTATTATTCAAATCATCCACGTGCAACATTTGAAATTTGAGCTTGTTTATTTGAGAAATAGGAGCGAAAGCTTGTGCTAATATGCATTTGATCATTTTCATTTTGTAGTGGGTATATGGCTCCAGAATATGCAATGTGGGGTTACTTAACCTACAAAGCAGACGTGTACAGTTTTGGCGTCGTTGCACTAGAAATTGTTTCTGGAAAGAGCAACATGAAATATCGACCCAGTGAAAGTTTCATTTGCCTTCTTGATTGGGTAAGATTTTTGTATTTTCTCCAAATCAGATAATGAAGTTTTATCTCATTAACCTATTTTTCGTTCTTATGTCCACGAAGAAAGGTCTCACGCAATAGCCTTTCGTCTCAAGCTACGATTTTGCAGAACGAAGGAAGGTTGATGGAGCTCGTGGATACAAGGTTGGGTTCAAATTTCAATATGGACGAGTCAAAACGAACGATCAAAGTTGCTCTATTGTGCACCAATCCATCTCCATCCCTAAGGCCTCCAATGTCCATGGTCTGTGGCATGCTTGAAGGATATATAAATGTTCAGGAATTTAAGATAGATCCAAGCATCTACGAAGATGAATTGAAGCTTCAATCACTCAGAGAGAAGTTTGAAGACTTGAAACCTAGTTCAAGTAAAACTCAGACCCTTTCTAATCCTTCTGATGCACTAGAAATTGGCTCTTCGTTTACCTCTTCCAGAGATCTCTATCCACCTAACCTTATATCTCTGTGACGATATTAACAGGTACATAGGATTGCAGAATTATTCTCTCAACAAATTGTCGTACTCTTGAAAGTTGTCAGAAAATATATCTTCGTGTCATACAGTATATACCCTAAATAAATATACGAAAAAGTGCATATTTTTATGGCTTGTTTAGTAAGGTTAAATGTAAAATAACAGACAAGATTTAAAGAAAAAATTTGTCGAGTTCTATGTATAAACATGCACTTAATGTTCTCTTTCTTTGCCCAAAACTACTCCGGCTGTATTTAACTTAGGTACTTTTTTATTCTTTTTATGATCATATGCCACATACGCTTTCACATTTAATTAAAAAAGTTGACAAAAATTTAAGTTGAAATCAATAATTAATTTTAATCACACATTTTATGATACTCACAATTTTAATCAATTTTTATCAATCTGATTTTTAGCTAAATCAAATAGGGACTTAACATTGTAATAGAATATAAGAATTCAGATGATTAGTGAACACGCTACATGAAATCGTGTTTTACAGGTTGTACAAGGCTATTCAGTACCCTACGTACTAATTATGCACTAGTTCTATTAATTTATCTATGTATAGCCAAATTTAACCGCATATTTCATGTAACCTACAATTTTTCAACTACATATTTCATCAACTTTTATCAAAATTTACTAAAAATTCGATTTTAATCTCTACCAAACAAGGGCTAACTTTTGTATAACGGACTGACAAACCAATTTGTTTGTGTTGTTTTTATATTTGAACTAGTAAAAAATTACTAAACATAAAGGAACAAGTTGAAGATTCGACCCCTTTTCAAACTATTTGCGCTCAAAGAATAAATCTTCTCAAACAGAGCCTTTCAAAGGATAAATCTTCTCAAACAAGGCCACAAACCCTGGAAAAACAGGGCTATGTGGCCATGTTCCGAACACCAAAATCAATGTATACGAAGTATACAGTGCTAGTTTTTCTTCTTGGGTCCGTTATTATTGTTTTTCACTAATTTTTGAAGGTCTTAGTGTGTCTTTAACTTTCAAAAAAGAATAAATGAACTCTTGACCTTCAATATAAATTCAAGTTTTCGTTAAGTTATTCCACAACTCTCTTAGAAATATGTTTGATTTCCAAATACCAATTCTCATTTTTTGTTATTCTGTTCAATCGTCAATTGTCATTTTATGTTATTTTGTTCAATCACCAATTGTTCATGCTGAACACCAAAGTTAACGTATATGAGGTATAAAGTACTTATTTTTCTTTGTGGGGTATGCTACTATTGTTCTAAGTGTTGAAGTTCCTTGGTCAGTCTTTAACTTTCAAAAAAGAATAAATGAATTCTCAAACCTTTCTATTTAAAAACATGTTCAAGTTCTCATTAAATTATCTCACAACTTTCTTAGAAATATTAAATATATCATTTTCAATCACCAATTGTCATTTTATCTTATTCTGGTCAATCACCAACTATCTATATTGAACACCACAATCAATGCATACGAGGTATAAAGTGCTTATTTTTCTTCGTGAGGTCCTCTATTTTTGTTCTAATTGTTGAAGTTCTTAGGCCATCTCCAACCCTAAATCAAAATTTAAGGTGAGTTTTGCACTATTTTGCCCAAAATCTTGTACCAAAATAAAATTCATCTCCAATCCACTACACCAAATAAACAGTATTTAACTATTTTCTTCATTTTTTTTTATTCTCAACAATTTATTAACCTGAAAAATTATTTAGTCATTTACTTTACAATTGCATAAATTACATTAAATTAATGAAAATATTGTATTCACTTGTTTTATGTAATGTTTTCCTTAAATAATTGTAGAATGACGTGTCTATATGGTTGTTGTGACATTTTCGTTTTAACTTTAAATAATCATTTTTTTTATATTTTAAAACTTCTTAAGTGATTTTATTTTAATTCATTTCTTCAATTATTACTAATTAAATAATTAAAATGTATTACAAAGGCACGTAGTAAGAGTAGTAGCAGTAGTAAGAAGGAAATTGGCTTGTAAATTTCTTCATGGGAACTTTTGGACTAAGTCATAAAAAAGTGATATGCTTCTACAGATATGAACACAGTGGATTTCATTACTAGCCCACATAAATGGAGAAAAAAAATTAGAATTTTTAATGTTTCAGCTTCTTGCCACCGGTTCGCCTTCAACAAAAATGTCTGGACGAGAATTCGAGCAAAACTCATACTTGGATCACTCGCTTCCTATCCAGATCACATCGTGCGTTTATCTTGCCATTTGTGCTTGCCGGCAGTCGCGTAGTGTCACAAGCTATCAATTTATCTAGTGAACCATAAACTGTCCAGATATCTGCCCGTTCCAATTTGCTTTGTGAGGCGAGCAATTACATATATATTTATTTAGGCGTCATGATGCAAAGAATGCAATTATAAAAATTCAATCATTCTCCCAGCAGAATCTCTTTTATTTATTCCATAAAGTGGTGTTCTTTCTTTTCGGCCTTTAAAATGTCTTCCTACATTTTCTTAAACATTCAAGAGAAATGAAATAAAATCCTAGCAAAAAATAACACAAGTTTCATCCAAAACAACACATCAGCGTATATCACCATCGATTCACAACACAAAAAACCATCAACTATGAAATGTTGATATGGTCAAGGAGAAGAAAATCACCTACTTGTTACCCGAATTAGATTTCAATAAATACTGTTCGTTTGGAATATTTTCGCTTCGACTACGGGCCGGCTTACAGCAGAGATGCCTGTTACCTAAGTAGCAAGAAAAAATTTCTTTAAGAGTACTCAAAATATTCAAGGGCCATTAAACAAAAATTTTATTTAGAAAAGAAAAAAAAAGACACTTTATCCCAAATTCTTATAAGTTAGTCTAAATTTTTATTTTTATGCGATATGAGATTTTATTCCTTTACATAATAACGTGGGCCACATTCAACCTTCAAAGGCAGTTGATTCAGGACTTGTTTATAATGCTTCTTATACTGACTATCATCTCTTCCTCTGTCCTAATAACTGTAATTTGCTCGTTCCATCTTTCAAGTGTCCCAATGTTATTCCTTCGCCAAGTAATCTCAACTATCCATGGCTAGCAATTGCTAAGCGCCTAAGCTTAAAGTATCCACGATTGTCACTCGAACTGTTACAAATGTTGGTAGTAAGTCTTCATACTTTGTCGCTCGAACTGTTACAAATGTTGGTAATAAGTCTTCTACTCAGTTACGATTAAAAAAAATCCTGGTTACTCCATAGAAATATCTCCATCCACATTACACTTCAACGCTAAAGCGGAAAAGTAGGGGCTTCAACATAACAGTTGTAGTGAAGAGGCCTATGCGGGAAAATGAGTTTGCATTTGGTTGTTATAGTTGGAGTGAAGGGATTCATGAAGAAGTCCTATTGCATTATCCTCAGAGTAAATACCTCACGGTATTGGGTGAACAAGAAAATACTGTAAAATATTAAGAAAAAATAAATAAAATCTTATTCATTGTACTGGCTTGTCCAATATTGGGCGCAAACATGTCCTAAAAGAATTAGACATAGACCTTACTCAATCAATATTATGTGTGAATTCTCCATTGTGTTTTTTTTTTTGCCCCCCCTCCCCCGAGGGCATAGCCTAGTGATGCAAAGGACAGGAGTGAGGTTATCTTACGCCTTGTTGGTAGCCACAGTGAGGGGGTTCGATTCCTGAGACATGAAATTGAACTCCTTGTAGGTGCAGTGTACAGACAGTTCTTGTTCCCTGGCCTGTTGGGGCACAACCCGCGATTTATCTCCCTCACAAAACTCTAGGGTCGGGGCGGGTGGGGGAGACTCTCAAGGTTGGGGTTCAACCTTTTTTTTTCCTCCATTGTGTTTTGCTTCATGCCTATAATAAAGTTGTTAATTATGTATCTTGTACTTGTCTTGCACCTTCCAACGGGTATGGAACTGAGAAAATGTGCTTTTAGACTTTAAGCGATAATCTCACGTATTAGTACAATCATTTCTAGTACTCAAAAGTTAGCCGAACAACTTGATTAAAAAATTTGCAAAGAGGATTCTATTATAGTGGTGGAAAGTGTAAAGCTACTAACTTTGTCAAGATCAGTGGGATGCAAAATAATTTAAAATGAGAACAAATGAAGATAACAAAAATAAATGCAAGTATGACACAATAATTTACGTGGTTCGAAAATCATGCCTACGTCCACAAACTCACACAAATTTTTCACTATATCAACAAGAGAAGAAGAGCAATGCAAAAATACATTCTCTGTATTTTATTTGCAACGTAGAGATAATCTTTCAATTTTGTCCCTCTTAACTCGCTGCAAAATGCTATTCACGCATATCCATTCAGTGACTTTAATGTCATTCCCAATTGCATTTGAAATTTGAGAAGAAACTCATGCATGATAACCTCTGCATTAAATGTGAATGGAAAACTTTCTACCAATTAATCTCCACTATGCATGAACAGTGGCCATCACTATTCAACAGAAACATGCTAGTTGCAAAGGCGCATGCCGTATTCGAGAGACCGTGATTATTAACAAAAAAATATTTATTTAAAGACGTACTTTCAAAAAGGAATATGTACATATCTTGTAGTTTAACACCGAACGAATTTAATTAACCATGTGTTACGTTATTGTGTCACATGCTGACAATTGACACATTATTGGAAGATTATGTTTCCAAGTCAAATCCTCATTAGAAGATATTATTTGTAAGTCGTTCATACATCACTGTCACAGTTCACTTTCCTCCATTGGCACAATCAGGATCTTCCCATTTTGGCTCAATTTTATCCTTGAAACAGTGGAAGTCCGCTCCAACTGTCAACTTGCTTGGATGGTTAATGTTATTGTATACGCTGCAAGCCTAGCAAAGTGAAGGTCTAACGAGTCAAATAAAAGCATACACTGATTACAACTGACGTGTGATACTACAAATTTTGCACGAAAAAACTATGTTCATAAAGGTTGGGGGTGGGGATTTATATGGCCAATTGTAAGACGTAGACAAGAAGTTCGTATTTCGACAATGAAGCTATGATAATATTTACAATAATAAAATCAAATATAAAGTTCGGGTTGTTTCAAAGAAATTGATAATATAACCGACAAAATTAGCTGGATATGGTAAAGTATGGTTTATAACTCTATTGATTACGAGTACAGATTCAGGGGGCAAGCTTTTCTGCGCTCACATCCCCAACCCCACAATTGGGGGAAATAAGCAGGGGGGAACTTG